AAGGATTATATACTCTCCAGAAAAGGATTTTGAGATCTTTAAATAGCCATTTCAGATTCTGCATACTAAAAGACGATGGTATTATGAACCTGGACAAAAATTATAATTCCCTATAATTTTACTTACTACGAATCTGTATCTTCCAAAATAGATGCAGCACCTCTTAAGACCAAAAATTCCAGTTAAGATTCTAAATATGTTCAAAGGATTATACAATGTTTTGCTTTTTTTTAATGTGACATCCAGCTTTGTATCTCTTAAAAATTGGCAGCAGGTAGTCTAAGAAACCATGGTGTCACTAAGCACCTGATTTATATCAGTTCACCTAGAAATCAGATGTAGTCTAGCAGTGGGATTTGCACAATTTGCATCTCTGAACTACAGTCCAACACCGGTCTTTGTGCTGTTTTTTTGTTTTTGTTTTTTGCCATTTTGCTGCCCTTGCAGGATTACGGATTAACAGATGGAGACCAGATCTTCCAGAATCCACAGAACTGGAGTGAGGGGTTAAGATTGCCCTGAGGATATGAAAATCAATTCCGACTAATCTTTTACATCACAAAATCCAGAATTCAGCCAAGTCCGATCAGAATTCTCACTATTATTAAATCTAGCTTGATTTAGACAAATATAAGGGAGAAAATCCAAATTTCATTCTAATACTATGTGGCGCACAGGTGATAACATAAATTCTGATTTGCTTTTCAGAACTTCCTAATTACTAATACAGTTGATACAATACAATACAATACAATACAACACAACACAACACAACACAACACAAAGCCAGTTTGGTCTAGTGGTTAAGGCACCAGACTAGAAAGCAGGAGACTGTGAGTTCTAGTCCCAACTTAGACATGAAACCTGGCTGGGTGACCTTGGGCCAGTCACCCTCTCTCAGCCCAACCCACCTCAGAGGGTTGCTGTTGTGGGGGAAATAGGAGGAGGAAAGAGTATTAGGTATGTTCACCACCTTGAGTTATTGTAAAAATAATAAAGGCAGGATAAAAAATCTAAAACAAAAATTGATTCATTTGATTAAATGATCCAACTAGAGATTGTTTTGTTCTGATACATTGTATTAGAAAGCTCTGCATTAGTTAAATATTGGGTCAAAACAAAACAAATTGCTGGATCCATTTGAACTGCACCCCATGCCAGCTTCATACTTGAACATGTTATCCAGCTCAAAAGTTGAGCAGATGTCTGGTCCTGCAAAATGATACTTATTAGTCAATAGATCTGCAGTTTATTGTAATGTGTTACCATTCTTACAAACATATTATAAAAAAAAAAAACCATTGGAGCATAAAGTAATAAAATTCCATGAAAATGCTAATGTAACAAGGAATTAATTTAATCTGGCATTGCTACAGAGGCCACAGCAAACAAACATGTTCTTGTGAAATAATAGTCTATGTTCCCTATTGGTGTCTGACAAGCAGAAGACCAAAATTATATTGATCACAAAAAGGAAAATGAGCCAGCTCAAGCTGCAATGAGACTCTTTGATGAAAAGAAAGCTGTATTGCTTGGATTACAACAGAAGTTCTCAATGCAAATCATCAAACTGGCCATTTTATACCTCTTGTTAAACAAAAATAGATTAAGATGGACAGGGTTTTTTCCTCCTTGTTTTAAAGCTGGAATGACAGTTGCTGCAATCATTATGAGTCAGAAATCAAGCGGCACCAGACTGTCTGTAAGAATTTAACATGTGATGGACTCTATAACCCATTATCATTGAAGTATCGCCATAAATGTGGGATTTCGAGGAGAAAAAAGCAGTAGCTTTATAGTTGATTTTGCATGAGATTCTTTCTGAAAAAAATAGTTCCATTTGATTCCAACTGCATAACTCAGAGTAGTTTCTATTTATTCCATTCTCACTTCCATATCTTGCCCTTTTTCAAAGAACTTGGTGGCCAACACAGTTATCAGACAAAAGAAAATACTTCACATGATTATTTCCTGCAGTTCACTGTCGCCAGATGTGGAGATGCTCATTAGCTTAAATAGATTTAAAGAAGACATTTCATGAACAATGGGTCTTTAAATGGATTGTAGGACTTCCACATTCAAAGGCAATCTGTCATTGAGTATCAGTTACTACAGAACAGCAGAAGATAACCTGTCCATGAAGAGCTTTCAGGGCTTTCCATCTGAATAGCCACTATGGGAATAGAAAATATGGGGCCAGATACATCTGTTGCCCTAATCAAGTTGGAAGAAAGTATAGCAATGGTTATTTGAGAATTTGGTACAATATCATGTTAATGAACATATTTTTAAAAAGGAAAAAAAACTGTCCCAGACTCGGAGCTGGTCCCAGCAGCGCAAAGAACAAGGAGCACCATGCCGACTGGGAGCAGCATTGTTGCATCAGAGAACCAGTAGAGTTTTGGAGCAATAGCTTATTATTTATGCATGTTTTATTGCATATATTGTGGATTATTAAATACGGTAGACTAATCAGATGCTAGGCATGGTAAAGAATTCACAAATCTTGTGGCAGAAGGGAAAAGAAAATTGTTTTGCCTGTTTCCATTCATGTGGATTGCATTAATTGCTTGTGTCTGTCAAAATGGATGATTTATTGTTGGCGAATAGAACTGAATCACACATCTGTTGTCATTATGAAGGCTATACAAAATGTTACTGAAAACAAAAATCAGTTCTGATTTTTGTTTACTTCCTTTGCTCATCATTGTATTATTAGGCCAATATATTATTGGGCCCTGAATGTATGCAGCTGAAGAGGTAACTGGTATTAGAATTAATTTCTATACTAATTACAGTGATGGAATTGCATAAAATTATTACTGTAACATAAAAATGGGGGATACCTGCCCCAACAAATTTCCAGATTTATACAACAGAGAAAACATCTGCTCCTGATTTGTATAATATATATTTAAATATAGAAAATCTGAACCTCAAGATTTTCCTAAAAGTCAGTTACAACTATCCTATTCTGACTTTATTGAAATGCCACTAAGCAAAAAACACATGCTCTGTTCTCGTTACTTACTGTATATCCTCTTCCAGTCACTAGAGTTCCCATCCTGCATTAGAAGTGCACAGTCGGAGATATTCAGATTTGAGTGGCAGTGGTCATTTTGGGGGCCTTTCCCCCCATTGCATCTTTTTCTGATATCTGATACCTCTTTCTTCCCCATTTCCTTTCTTTTCCCACACCAGAGCTAAAAATATTTAAGGAAAGAATCCACGGTGGAGCAATTTGAATCTGTAGCACAGCTGAAAGATTCGTGGTGAGGTATTACCCACCTTTCACTCATTTCTACTCATTTTTCATTTCCCTGTATGGCCAGGGAAGGGGTGAAAAATAAAACATCCACTGGTCATCAGCTTCATTTCAATCTCAGTAGAGTTCAATGTTAGTTAACCCCAAGGGAACCGTTTCCAAGAAAGACAAAGAGAGGAATTACTTCAGCCCTACACAAGACTGGATCTGTTTAGAGCTAAATTTAACTGTGTCAGTGAACCTTCCAGTGATCCGGTTAAACATGTCATGGTGCCAGGGCCATAATGTCACATTTTTTCTTTATTTATTATGTTTACTATGGCCTTACTTGTGCCAGTGAAACAGCATTTGCCTCAGTTCCATTTAAGCTCAGCTATTCATACAGCAGTTGTGAAAATCCATATTTTTATTGCATCACCAATGTAGTTTAAGTATTGAAGGCTAGCAATCTGCATAGCTAGCTGGTTTGGGATATTAAACTGTTGTGCACAATTCAAACAGCCTTTATGAGCCCAATAAATGGTGTAAATAGGTGCTTAGATTGGAGAGCTTGGTCTGATGCTTCAAAGCTATATTTGGTCCTCAGTAACCTTGGGTGGGGCCCTAAGAGTCTCTCCAAAAGTTGGCATTGAATTTCAGTTTGCAGTATGGAGAGTAATCCGTTTAACTGAATGTAAGTAATTTTATTTAAATTCAGTTAAAATTAATCAAATATCCACTTCTTTGACCTCTCCGCCTACTTTTTGAAATACGACTAGCAGGTGCCCCGAAATATATTATGTACTCCTAGAACAATATCTGCTTATAATGCTGTAGTCAGCAGAGGGGGAACCAAAATCAATCTGGCTTTTCAATTTAATGTTTATTGCAGGCAGTGACCAGTTAATGCAACAAAACAAGATTACACAAATAACATGACAAATAAAATATACGGCATGCTATCATACTAGAAGATGTGAGGGCTATATGAGCTATTTGAAATATATTCCCTGGCCAAGGGTTGAAGTTACATTGTTGTTAATATTATCAGAAAGGAAAATAAAAATAACGTTGCTTTTCTAATTGGGCCGAGACAAAGGGGATAGAGAGAGAGAGCCAGAGACATTCCATGCTCCACAGAGAGGAAACTCTATTGATTGCTTTTTCCAGAGAAGGGAGATAAACATATTTTACTGAAAACAAAACAGAGAGGGTTTTCTGTTATTTGAGAGGACAAGACAATATGAGCCATCAAATTTAGCTCAGCCATATTCCAAAATCTGCTTGCAAAAAGCATAAAATACAACCAAGACATTTAATTTTATCTAAATATCCTATAAGGAATAAAGTACTTACCACTGTTTCTGCCTATTAGGATGAATCTTCTATTCTATTCACATATGCTATAAATTTAATTCAATATTGTGGTTTAGATGTCTGTCAATATATTTCAGTGAAAATCTACGCTAAGAAGAGTTGAGCGGTTTCACTAGTTAAGGAGTTTGAAATGCAGAGAGGGGAAAGGAAAGATAGTAATTGAAACAATGTTCATGTAAATCTGTCCCATAATAGTTTCTGTGGGTAGTTGCCTGGTTGTTTTGGATCTTAAAAGGATTTGAGTAGTTCTTGATCCTATTTTACAAAAAGTTCATCTTGATTTCCTTCTCTCTCTATCTTTTCTTTGTTAATGATGAGATCCAAAGTCTTAGATCTTGATCTGTGCTTGTCTGATTTTCTATCTGCTCTTGTATTGTAGGCATATTGGAAATAACATCTGTGGAAATTGGAGTGGTGGCCGTTAAATCCATAAACAGCAATTATTACCTTGCCATGAATAAGAATGGAAAAGTCTATGGATCTGTAAGTATATTTCACTTTCTTGTATCTAGCTTTTTCTGTTTGTGCATTCCTTGTCCTCTTGCATTGATTAGGTCTTACTTATTAAAAAACATAGGACTGGAGTATAAGATCCTGCTTATTTATTTATCTATTTATTCCTTACATTTATATCACCTCTCTCCAGGAACATATATAGCACTGCCTTCCCCAAAGTTTTCTCATAACCATCACCCTGGGAATTTGCTTGAACTAGGAGAGAGTGAGGAGTCCAAATTCACCCAGTGAGCTCCTATAGCTGAAGGAGGTCTTCCAGGAGATCTCCCTGTCTGCGGCACTGATTCAGTTACAGATTACTCACTTTCTGAAGTTGTTGATTTACCTTTAATCTTGCCTGAATCTTGCCTTGTGTCAAGTCTGAGCATTCATTTATTCATTCATTCATTCATGTATGTTTATAGGCCACTACTTGAGTAGTAACTGATTCTGAATGGCATACCTTATTCAGTAACATAAGGTTGAAATACACACAACAATCAAATTGTTACCAACAATTCACAGTTCTATGCCAGGGGCAATAAACAAGCTCAATTCAAACAGAAGACAACATAGTTTCAAACCCATCTGTTCCCAAAGCTTACGGTTTTCATCACCTTTCTAATGCTCAGTAAAATTGAGGAAATACTGTTCCAAAGAAGGGGGCAGCAATTGAAAAGACCCCCTCTCCAGTGAAGGTCACATTCGTTGAATGAAGGGACCCAGAAGGAACCTCTTCTGGTTGATCTTATCAAACGGGCAGAAACAATCAGAAGGCAGTCCTGAAGATTCCCAAGTCCTGACCCATGTAGGGCTTTAAAGGTGAGAAACGGCACCTTAAACTGCACCCAGAAGCAATCTGGTAGCCACTGTCAGAGTAGAGGTGTTATATGAGTCAATCACAACATGAACTACCTGAGCCATTGCATTCTGGACCAGATGATCATAATCCTGTCTACCTTTTCTGTATTGCCCGTGGCAGGAGTAGACCAAGGGAGTAGATCAAAGGCCATACCCTTCACTTGGGTTACGGGTTCTAAACCTTCCTAAATTTCCAAAAAATGCCAAAAAGAAGGAGGAGGAAGTGGAGGAGGACAATGATGAGGACAATAACATTTTTTACCTCCCCCACTCGGGGAGTGGTGAGACTGTATAAGGGGAGCAGGCTACAATTTTTGCACCCCTGGTCTATAGCTCTGTTGTCAGGCAGTGTTCTTCAGACTGATTGGAGGATGCTCATGATTGAAATTCAGACCTTTCACATACAAAGAAGATGCTCTCCAGTTAATTATAAGGTCCTGTTTTCTCTGTTTCTTTCCTGGATTAAATAGCCCCCAAATAGCCATATTTAAACTTCACTCTATCCATAAAAATAAAATCTTACCAATTCTTATAGCCTGCCAGTTGTGTTACAATGTTTTAAATAATATGGATATGTGGCTATGTTATTATTAATAATAAAAATAAGGTTAACCTCTGAAAGAATTTTCAGGCACATATTCAGGCTTTCCGTAACTAATTTTTTATCCTTCTGTCAAGCTTATCCTCAAAGAAAGTAGCATAACATTGCATAATGTAAACATAGATGCAACATTTGGATTTGAAGACAGTTCATACTGCTTGCAAATGTGTGTTGTTATCCTGGGAAATGTTTAAAAAGGTAAATGAACAAATCAGATTCACAGGCCTATTATTATATTTTATTCTGCATTAGAATATATTTAATTAGAATCCATAAAACCCAATAATGCACTTCTTCCCAATTTTATCAGTTATTTTTCTTCTGTGAAATTTGTCAGTGATCATGCTGATTTATATGGGAATTGAAATCCAATATATCCAGAGGGTGCCAGGGTAGGAAAAAAACTAATATAGAATGTATGAAAGATTTGTTCATATTGTTCATACAGTATGTTCATATCTTCATGTTCATCTAAATATGAACAAACCTTTCATATACTCTATATTAGTTTTTTTCCTATATTTATTACATCTAGTAAAAAACGAAGTCACTAATTTTTATGCAACTTTACAAATAGGAATAATTTCTTAACTGAAGTTGCGCATGTACAAGTTTCACAATGACATAGTCCAATAAATTATGTTTAGCATTTATATATTTCTATAATTTTATATTCATTATATTAATGATCCTTAGCAGCCTTTATAAATTAATTAATATTATTATGCTCATCTGTCAAACTTGGTAAGGCAGATTTGAGGCTGAGAGATGATAATACTTTTCCAAAGCTACTTGCTAAATTCATGGCAGAAGCAACATATTAATAATTTGCAATAGACCACATATGACTTTTATTTCTATATTTTATTCTATTTATGATGTCAAGATTGACTGAAAATATCCCAAAGATAGGAAGTGTCACATGATTAATTAAATTTATTTGTTCCTCCAGTAGTCAGCAACACCTCCCTGGTGAATCTGAAGAACTCCAAAATTATTTTTACAAAAATGAAATCTCTCATGATCATTAAATTGTATGAGGTTTTGGTGATCTTGCATGAAGCCTTACAAGATTTCAGAATTCTCATGTGAGATAAAATATACATGGATATGGAGATGAGCAAAAAAATCAAAATGGCAGGAACAACTACTGATCATTAAATTTTATGAGGTTTTGGTGATCTTGCATTTGAAAGCACTGCTCTTTTTTTACACCCATGTGATGCATATTAAAAAGGGGTGGGGCCTTGATCATGTGGTTGTGCCCACCATCTTTACTTTTTTTACCTCCCTCCCCCCACAAAGCTCCATCATATAAAATATTGGACATGAGATTATAAAAATTTCCCACGATTTGACTGTCCATGAGATTTTGGCTACTTTAATTTGTATTGGAGAAGGTGGACCAGTACAGGTAAATCTGCATATATTTGTACCTAATTAAATATTCTAAGAAAAACATAATTTTCATTTGAATGGTATAGCTATGTCACATATATAAATCTTCTAAATAAATAATAAGTAACTTACTTCCCTAATTACATTAAAAAATAAATATATAATGTTTCATATATTTAAAAATAATCTTTAGTATAATTATTCATTGTTGAGCTATTTAAAAAGACCCTGTTCTATGTGTCTTCACAGAAAGAGTGATTTATTTATTCAGCATTTTTGTTATAGAATTTCTACCCAAAGGAGGTTCAAACAACCTATCTTGTTTTATGGCTTTGATTTACTCTTTTCCTTGACAGTGGTTTGTTTAGTTTGATATATTATTTAAACCACTTCAACAATTCTTGCTGGGTCTGATAAGCAGCATGACAATGCTTCTACAAGTGAAATAAATAAATGTAATAGATTAATCTCATTACTTGAGTAGACTGAAGTTCTAAAAGCAAGGCTGTGTCCCATAACCCTCAATGCCCCATAATGTAGCAGTCAAACATCTAGTAGACATCACGCTTGAAATGGCACTGAATTCCCCTAGTGTTTGTATAAACTTACCAGAGACTTCATTATCCTTTTTCCACAAGCCAAACAAGGAAATGCTACTAAAAATATTTGTGTTTTCCAGAGATCATCATGAATGCTCAAATTCACATAGTGTTGATCTGCTATGATTGTTTAGAATACAAAATACTAATTTGTAAAATACTTTCCTACTTTGGGCTCTGGCTTGCAGAACATTTTGTATAAAATCCGTGATTATATCAGAAAGGTTTCCACAATCTATTAGTTAGGATTCCTGATAAGATTTTCTAGGATGGTCACAGAATAGTATGATAGGGGACTTTGGCTTTTACAAGCAGATGGATACAAAAATAGCCTCAATAATTTTTTTTTTCTCTAAGAAATACTCGTTTTTCAGCATAGCTTTTTCAAAAAAAGAAGTCCATAGATCATGCACTAATACTGATGGCAAAGAGAGTTCAAAACCGGGATGTCTAATATTTGTCATCTCTTTTCTCCTGAGAAGGAAGCTAGAGATAGAGCAATGCCACTTCTAGAGATGAAAACAATAATAGCAACAACAACAAAACCACTTCAGAAGAATCAAATTAAATCTATTTTGAATCCATACATAGCTCATGGTAGAACTTGTTTCATAGATGATTGAATCAATTACCAAAGGTTCTAAAATATATTTTAGAGCCAAGCTATAAACCAGACATGATGCCAAATGAATCAACAGAAAGCACATATATTTTTTAAAACATATTTTCATAACACACAAAGGAGAGATTTTAACTAGGATTACAACAGAGGGAATTTTAGTACAAATTGACCAGATCTTCATCTTCCATATATTAAAGCATAACTATAAGAGATAACTGTTGATCAGACTCTGGACTCTGGAATGTAGGAAACCAGACAATTCCAGTATCGTACTCTTAAAAACATAATTTGAAATTACTTAGTAGTTTAGGGCAATTAAAGTCATATCTAATTTGTCCTTCACTTGGCCACCTCACAAGTCATTCACTTCTCCACTAATTCTACATGCTACTTTTTTCTTTCTCCTTCTTTTTTTTTTTTTTTTTGAGAAGGGCTAGTAGTACAGTCTTACCTGAGCCCTTCTTTGTTCCTTCTTCTCAGCTCTTCCACCTTGGAGTGAAATATGTCAGAGCATTCCTTCCATAATCAATGGCCACTTCAACTCAGTAACTTCCAGATTCCCAATTATTTGAAAAGGTATAAAACATAACTTTAATGAATGTAGGGATCCAAATGGAGGTCAAACTTTATGATAAAAGTGAGCCTCAGAGTGACTAATGATTAGAGAACAGCAATCACACGTGTCCTTTTTTCATTGTTTTTGAAGAGTTTTAACTTGCCTACCTTTGGAGGTGGTTTAATAATCTCCAGGGCTCAAGGATGCTTACTTTGTATTCTAAAAAATGAGCGTAAAATATGGGAAGAGAGAAAGCGAGAGAGACATTAATGGTATTCCTTTTTACAAAAATAAAAGCATATCCATATTTTTTTTCAGATGTTATTCAAGAAGCAGGATTTGGGACTCACCTTAGATTAGGGTAGCTAATCAGAGTCCTGTGGCCAACATGCAGCCACCAAATCTCTCTTTTTCTCTCTCTCTCTGAACCATTTTGTATCATCATCCACTGCAGGTCTTAGTCACCCTAGCTATGATAAGTTTGATCAGCAGACATCTAAAGGTTCCTGATCTTGCTTTAAATCAAGCAGAACATGCAAGCAAAATACTGAGCATGTCATTTATAAGAGCTAGATCTATGAAATGCTGCCTGTACATTCCAGGTAGATGTACCATGCGTGTGCACACATTTTACTTTGGTCTTCTTTGACACATAGAGGCTGCTGCAGCAGCAGCAGCACAATAAGACTGTATGCTATACTGCTAATGTTTGAGACTAAGTGGGTATGCAGATAACCTATTCCAACATGTGCACAGCTTATTTGTCATTTCTGTTTACCAAGCAGGAATGATACAAACAATGGAGAAGAGGAAATGCTCAAGAAATGTTTATTGTGAAGTTTGACACAGTTGGGCTGAAGCTCCCTTTTCAGAGCAACTTCCCTGCACTGCACTCAGGGCAACAACCACTCTGGCACTAGGGATATTTGACCTCAAAAATGGACTTTTTGGTCTGAAGTACATTGGGCCATAAAATAAATGTTGCTTGGACACTTTGATGACCATCTCCAGCTCTTTGTGCCTTTTGCATCTACCTTCTGGTTGAAGCCTTAATGGTGCATGAAGGGACACAACCCTGCAGAAGGGGTAGCCAAGATATGTATAAAAATCAGCTCTAAACATACCCCAAAAGTCATCCATTTCTTTTGATTGTTCTTAGCGGTCTTGTACCTTCTCACCTTCTGATATTGTCTCTGTTTTTGTCTGCATGTGTTTTTATACAGAAAGAGTTTAACAACGATTGCAAACTAAAGGAGAGAATAGAAGAAAATGGATACAATACATATGCCTCATTCTTTTGGAAAAATAATGGAAAGCAAATGTTTGTGGCTTTGAATGGAAAAGGAGGGACAAGGAAAGGACAGAGAACCAGGCGGAAAAACACTACTGCTCATTTTCTTCCCATGGTAGTCGACACACAAATGAAGGACCTCTTCTATTGATAGCAGCTGAACCAAAGATTTTGTCAGGAATTTGTTGGTACTCTTCTCAAAGAGAAAAGGCAAAAACAGAGCAGGTGTCTGGTTGACTGCAAGGGAAACCTGTGAAGGTTCTGTACAATCTGTTGAAACATGAAGTACCTCTAATTAGTTATGTGTCATATCCTATAATCAAGACACAAGCTGGATCAAATGGGATCAGAGCTTTTTCCAGTGCAAACAAATTATGATTATTATTTTTTATCTTGCCGATAGAACTCAAAGGATATGAGACAATGTATTGAGTGATGTTGGGGAAAGTTATTTATGGAATACTAACTCAAATCATTAAGAACTTCATCCAAGCCTAATGATCCAATGAACAGTTAAGCATTTACTGGAAGCACATGGGTCATACGCAGACAGAAGAAAAGATTCTGGAATGGTCTCATATGGAAGAGATGAATAGGATTAAGAAATATAAGCATATTAAAGTTGTTTTAACAAAATAAATAGTATGGTTCTCCATCCCTTTGTATGCTAATGCCATGCCTTTGTATTTCTCCCTAAGTTATTTATTTAATAGGATGTTAAATATCTTTCTTCTCTTTTTTTTTCTTTTTTTTTTTGGGGGGTTGTTTGAAGGATTTTCCCAGTTGCTTCCTGTTGCATAGTGATTCTTTTCCTGCCTGTCCATATTCTTTGCAAGATTGACAAAGTCAAACCTTGAAAGCTTGCCCAAGTTTCCAAAAATACAGAAAGGATAACACAAAAGAAAAATGTAGGATTGTAGACTGTGTTTAATCGTGTTGTCCCTTTTTTTTCTTTTCCTCTTGAAACTTGGCTTTTAAAATTTGCACTTAAAATCAATAGGATCAGAAACAAATGGGAATTGCAACAGGATCTGTGTGTATTTTATCAGCATCTTTGATTATTGCTTCCCTCACGGATCCAAACTTCCTATAATGCATCATCTGAAGAGTTTTGCTGCTGTTTTGAAATGGGCAAAATTTAATTGGATACTCAAATGTCATTAAATGCCTGACCTCAAAGGTATTGAAATTGAATTATAATTATCCTTTTTTTAGAACAAGGCATAACTATATATAGCCATATTTTATACCAGTGTTTCTCAACCTTAGCAGCTTTAAGATGTGTGGACTTCAATTCCTAGAACTGGAACTCTGGGAGTTGAAGTCTACACATCTTAAAGTTGCTAAGGTTGAGAGAGGCTGTTTATACTAATGAAATTTCTTTTCAGAGAGATATTGAATTAAGTCTGTGGAGCTGATACATGTGAGTAGTTATTCCTTTGCGTCACCACAGCTGAAAAAGTAAAAGAGAAAAAGCCAATCTTTTGACTGCAGTCTATTTCAGAAAACCGCCTTGATGTACATGGTGTTGAAAATTGCATCCTCAATCTAAACAAACTTCAACTCTGTTTCAAATATTATATAGGAGTTGGGGAAGAGGAAGGAAATTGGATTCCTCTTACACCATCAAACCCAATGCAAAAGCATATTCAGTAAGTCCCTGAAGAGATGTCTTTGTTTCAGAGTATGTTATCTCTTTGCAGGAAAACGTACACTTTCCTATAAAGATGGGAACCATGTGCTATCCATGCTGCTCCTACGTAGTGTTTGAAACCTGTCCAAAGTTCTTGATCATATCAGCTTAAGATGTCCGTACTTGGATTCTACTAAAATCTTACCATTACAAATGGAATTAATTCAATTAATAATTCCTTAATTGAAGATATAGAATTGGATTGAACATCAGATATGTACATTTATCTTTCCGTAGGTGTGCTGGTCATCAGCTGTATTCCTGGGAACCTTGCTTTAGAAAGCCTGAGAAACAGTTTCTCAGTATTGCTAGCAGTGGATCTAGGATGGTTAGCTGAAAAACTTTCCATGAAAAATGTAACAGACTGATAGAAGAATATCAGGGTTATAATCATCAAAACAAGTAGTTGTTCCCTTCTTATTTTGGTCATCACTTGCTGTTAGTTTTTAATGCAGGGGTGGGTAATCCATGGACCACGTGGGGCCCTGTGTTCCTTTTGTAGTTTCTGGAGCTTCTCAGAGCCATATTGCCAAACAACAAGAGTGTACTTACACACCACAACCACTACCACAATCCCAGTAGATTAACTCTCAGATAGCCACAGGACACCAATAAAAGAGGGGGAAGAAAATTCAAAAAAAAGGGCCCAAGTCTTGGTCCAACTCTTATATGACATCATTTCATCCCTTGGCCACTAGCAGAAAAAAAATCAGACGTTGCTTCCTGACCCTGAGAAATTGCTCACCCCTGTTTTAATGGTTAGAGGCTAGGCTTTTTGTGTTATAGTATTCAAACCAGCAATCCTGGCCCCAACTCCCTTACTCCAAGGGAGTACAGTCTGGAAAAGGCTTCACAATGTGATCTGTTGTCAGTGTGAGTTCTAGGGAGAAAGAAACTCTGCCTTCTTGGGGTGAACATTTAAGATCTTAAGTGGATTGTGATGGTCATACAGTCATTCCTGACCATTTTAGCAGAGTCTACATTAACTATATTGGTGAAAATAGATATATTCTGGAGTAAATTATTTGAGGATTGCAGCCACTATTTTTTGTACGTGTATATAACTCTTAAGAGCCAATCTACAAGCAACATCTTTCTTCATTTATCAAAATATAAGCAATGGCTCTAAAGTGTAATATTGGGCATAATTTTAATGGAGGGCTTTTTTTCATAGCTTACACTGAGTAATGCAGTCTTCAGTTAAACATAATATCAACTTCCTTCAGTCTGGAAAAAAAACTTATATGATTTTTGTTTGTTTTACTTTTTCTCTCTTTAACATTAGAGAACTATGGCTAGTACATCAATATAACCATAACAAGATTCATTTTGTTAGAGCAAGTTAAGTAGAAACTGTACATCCAACCAGCATGTAGCACAGTGTATTCCACTAAGTAAATGAAGAAATGCATACGTCTTTTTTGCAGTGTCTATAGTGAAGAGCAGATGTAGTTTGTTTTTTTAATGAATATTAATGTTCAAAATACTTTAAGGGACTAAGTGTATTGATACTGCAGTTTTTTTCTTTAGTAACTTTTCGCACAAAAAGAATGGGTTTTAATTGTTTGGAAATAGTAGTTTGGTACAGATGCTTTAAAAATTGGGTCCTTTTTGCTATCATAATGCATAATTGTACAGTGTTGAACATTTTGGTGATCTTTCTTGCACTCTTTTCCGTTCTCCAATTCCCTGCAAAATCAGCTAGATTTGTCCAGTGGGGAAATTATTCCAGAGTGTGATACAGTTTGGTATAAAGTTTATAGAACAAAGAAAATTCATTAATAATAAAAATAATAACATGGTAAATAACACAGTCCAACTACACTTCCTGTGACACTGGCATATGTGCACTACATCATATTCTCATCTCAACCTCGTCTTTTATCTGTGATTCAATATTCTTTGAAGGAAATTTTTCCAAAAAATGCTCTGTTGAGCCCTATGCCAGCTTTCCCCAACCTAAGTGCAGTGTGGAAAGATGGACTTCAAATCGCAGGATTCTCCACCAGCCTGGCTGTGGCTGGGAAGTCTCAAAATTGAAGCCAATCTATCCAGAGAGCACTGGGGGAGAGGCTGCCCTATGTCAATCATCCTTATTCAGACATGACATCTACCCTAGGATGGATTTGGTCTTGCCTTCTCTCTTTCAAATGTTCAGACTGCAGTTGGTTAGCCTTAAATACAAAATGTTTTGCCTGGGTGTTCCCTTATGCAACCCTCCCCCCCCAAAAAAATATGAGATAGTGGAATAGTTCCCTTGCACAGCTCCCCCTGCTTTCACTGGACATTGCCCACTGGTTTATGCTCCAAGTCTTGTTGGACAACATGGTATTTTGGCACAAAGCTCCTTTCTCTGCCTGATATGCTGAAATACAGCTCCAAGAAAACTCAGAGTTGCGCCAGATTGGGAAAGACTGGGCTAAAATATCTCCTTTTTCTTGTAATTGAACAAAATGATTTAATATGTGTAAAACCAGCAATGGTTGGATTTGGGGATGATGGTGGTAACTATGGTAACGTGTGGCTGAATAATGAAAGGTTTGTCATATTAGGACAGAACTTTCCTTGTGTTACATTTCTTGTTTTGTTTTGTTTTGTTTTCAAAGTGATCATTGCAACTGACAATGCACCACCCACAAGAAAAATTAAGTGTTTGGTTGACAAATAAAGGATTGGATGACCACTCTCTTGAAGAGTTGATATGGTACAAACAAGGTTCCCATGTCAAAGAACTATTAGCATTTCTTTGGGGTCTTGGGGAGAGGAAGATGTGCAAACATTCATAATTCAAGACTTCAAAAACTTGTAGAAAAGCCTCTTGTGAGAAAAAAAATTGGATATAAAAATATTTATTAAAAAAATTAAAACATGAAAATCAAGGTGAACAGAGGTAAAGATGTACAAAGGGGGAGGTTAACAATGTTACTCTCCTTGTAAAAATGTCTGTACTTTTCTCTCCAAATGTCTTTGATGTTTATCAGAGAAGGAAAAAGAATCATTTTTTGGTTTAAATTTGCTTTAGAGTATGCAGAATGTAATAAAGTCCCTAATAAATTGAGCTATTGTTATTATATTTTTTGAAAGGAAGAGGGTTTTCTTTTTCCTCTATCTCTCAAATCATTTGCCTCTAAAATGGGAATTATATTTGCAGAAAATACAGTACATTAATGAAAGCAAGTTTTTAGAGGTTGGGAGCTTGAATTCAGAGTCGTCATTCTTTTGAATAGATAAAAAGAATTTAAAAGGTTGAAAATGAAGTAATTTGGAGGGGAAAAAACTGACAAGGAACCACCAAATTTATTCAGAGGTTCTTTCACAGATTATTGAACATTAAAAAAAAAATGACTTCCACTGGTCTTGTGAAATTAACATGCTTTGGTGCCCACTATAGCAGGTTGGTGCTACAGCTGGGTTTTCCAAAGTAACACTTTTCCATCAGAAATGGGCGCATGTACAAGGAACTTCTCAATGTGAAATATTGTTTGAATTGAATCCAAGCACTGATATGACTCCCATTAATTTTAAAGGGACATGCTAGAGAGTTCTTGGGTAGATGTAAAGTGTTTTTCTGTATCCATCATAAACCTGAGACAGTCTGATCATAATTCTAAAAAAGGATGCACACAGTATGTGTGCTATTGTTGTTACTGTTTTTTTAAATAGGTTGAACATGTACAGTATATTTAAATAATAAAAAATAAAAATTAACTACAGTTCTGAGAATAGAAAATGATTTCTCCTTTGTTTAATTGTCCTCAAAATATGAAGTGATTTTTTTAAAAAATGAAACAAATTGTGTAGAAAAAAGTCAGATTTGATAGCCTCCATGTAAGTTCAGAAAAATCAAATCATCTCAATATCAGTTTGTGTATCACCCTCAACAAATTGTATCCATCCATATCTACCTTCTACAATTCACCTGGCAGATGGATGTAAATAACGCTACCTTTTTTCACCATTGTTTAGAACAGTGTTGTCAACCTTGGCACCTTTAAGATGTGTGGATTTCAACTCCCAGAATTCCCCAGCCAGCGTGTTCCCCAGCCAACAATGGTATAGAAGAAATCAAATTGGGTGGTACATGATGCAATTCAGCTTTGACACCTTAATCAGCTAGGGTATTGGGCATGCACATCAGTCCTTCAAATGTGTACTAGAGTTTGGGAAAGAGAAGAAATAGCTGTTCCTATTTGGTAGGATAAAAATTGGTAGACTGTCTTCTGAAGGGCTTTGCGTCATGATCAAAAGACAGACACACTGTCAGTTAAAGCAGGGTTTTCCAAGAGTGAGAATTGGGTAGGGTCCCATGATAAACTTGGGGGGGGGGGGGGGAGTTCATTCAAACACAGACAATATTCTGTGAAAAAGGAAGCTTTGCCTTTTGATCAGAGTTGCAGATTTATTTATTTTTTTAACAAACAGGTTTCATGACCTGAAAAGGTTTGAAAACCCCTGAGCTAAAACCACTGAAGCAGCCTTCCCTTCCAAAAGTATTCTGGTTAGAAGGAAAACGAAAGTCTAGGTATTTCATTTCTTCATCAGAAGCTAGAACCATCAGTCCATG